ACCTTCCACCTCTTCCTGCTTCTTCTCCTGGGGCTTCGCATCCTTCTGTTCTTCCTTCTTCTCCTGATCTTCCTTCTTCTCTGGTTCATGACCTTCCTTCACCTCTTCCTGCTTCTCCTCTGGCTTCGGGTCCTTCTGGTCTTCCTTCTTCTCACCTTCCTTCACCTCTTCCTGCTTCTTCTCCTCAGGCTTCAAGTCCTTCTGGTCTTCCTTCTTTGGTTCATGACGTTCGATCACCTGTTCCGGCTTCATCTCCTCGGGCTTCGGGTCCTGATCTTCCTTCTTCTTCTCCTCTGGCTTCGGGTCCTTCTGGTCTTCCTTCGTCTCACCTTCCTTAACTTCTTCCTGCTTCTTCTCCTCAGGCTTCGAGTCCTTCTGGTCTTCCTTCTCTGGTTCATGACCCTCCTTCTCCTCACGGTCTCTTTCCATTTGCTGACCCATTTGTTCTAGGAATTCACCCCACTTGTTCACGGAATTTTGGCGGAACGTCCTGTCAAAGGTGTTGGGTCGGTAATAACGTTGCCTCCTCCACCAACCTTCATCCTCCTCTTCTTCGTTTGGCCATCCCTTGCACTCATAGTAGTCATCCCATGACCAGCTTTTGTCCCACCATCCTGAGCTTCTATCATGCCAACCACCCCAACCATATTGTCCACGCTGCCACCCTCCTTGATCCTGGCGGGCGTGCTCGTCCAGGCTCAAGCGCTCAAAGTCGAGCATTGTCGGTGCAACTTCAGGACTCCATTCACTCTCGACAGAGTGACCCCTGAACAGTTGAGTGCTTGGTAGGTCGCGGCCTCTCCTGTAAGCCTTTCGCTCTTCTTCTGTGTCGTTTAACTTCTGGCTTTTTGCACTTTCTTCAAGTGCCTTGTCCTCTGCTCTTCGCTTCCTTACCTCCGCTAAAGCTGTCTCAACCGATCGTGGGCTCGCTGGGATAGTCTCCTGTGAATCCATGGACGTGAAAGTGGTCCCGGTTGGAGTAGAGCTTGTACTACTTGTACCAGAACCTGTCCGAGAAAAGAGTGATGGACCTAGATCGATCGATCCAGTTTTGGTTGTACTCACGCGGCATGAGCTCACTTTATGTGATATGCGACTTAAGACAACACGGGTGATTACTGGCAATCTTGTCAGAGTCAGGCCTGTTGTTGTTTCGGTCTTTGGGCTGGGGGCAACCTCTTCATTAGGCCTCATGTTGTCGACCACGATTGGACGTCCTATACTAGCACTGAGTCACGAGTCATGTGCTTGATTTGTTGGGGATACATCAATGGACTGTGCAGGCATCTCTTGGGATCGCACGTGGCCACAATGACCTTTGCAGCTCTTGCCTTCGCCCGTGCTAAAGCCTCTTGGACTTTCGCTGACATCCCTGCAAAGTCCCAAAGCCTTATGAAAAGTTAGGATCCTGAGCCCAAAGGGCTCCAAGTGTAGCTGTCATTCATGCCGTTGTTTCGTGTTTGAAAGTGGAGTGATTTGGAGGCCCATGTTTCACGGTGCTTTCACGCTACAGGAGGTGCGTTCACGCTATATCGAGTGCGTCTCACGCAAGTTCACGCGATTTCACGCGACCCCACTTAACCCAGAAAATTTGCGGGATCAGAACTGTTGGGGTGAATCATAACATATCGAGAACAAATTCCAGTTGATGTGGGTGAGTCATGAACAAATACCATTTGATGTGGCAAAGACCGTTTTACC